AACGTTCCGTGCCTCGTATACAAAGCGAGCTCTTCGTATCCAAACCGATGTCGAAGAGCGGTTCCTTACCTTACCTTATACGCGATATAAATTTTCTTACGCCCCCGGGGCACGAATCGATCAATTTTCATGCAGTATCGGGAGAAGGAAGGAAGGAAGCGCTCCCACCACCCCTATCCACCCTACCCACGAAGGGGGGAAGGAAAGGGTGTATTCAAAATGAATTCACGAAAGATCTAAAGGAGTGGGATTCTGGATGCTGTTCGCGGCAATATGGGCGAATAAGGTCCGGCCATTTGCAGGATAAAAAGGTTGGAGTGGAGAATGGTCGGGGGTGTGTGGTATAAGGCTTGCGCTGTTGGCAAGCCCGCAGTAGGCTGTTGGATCCGCCAAGATGGAGGAAGGCCGGGCCCGGAATCGGCCAACGATGGCCAACGATCGGGATCGAGGGGAAAAATTGAATTATCATAAAGAAATTGCGTCCGAATATTCCATCCGACGTTCTATTGAATGCCGACGAGTAGATGAGAAGGCATCGATAGGTTTTCCAATATCGCCCGCGGCTCGCGCCAGGGACTTTTGCATCGGGAATTTTAAGAATCGAGGCTATCCTAGGATCTTGGGAAGGCGGTCTTTCCTCTCTAGGAGGAAAGCTTGGGCGCGCGCGTGTTGGTTCTCGTTCGTGCGTAAGGGAGGAGGAGGAAAGAGGGAAGAGTTGAAGAGAGAAAAGAAGAATTGGCCGGGATCCTCGCTCTTTGAACCCTTTCGGGACGCGAGTCGCTCCTCGAATCGCCTCTCTATGGGCGGCAAAATAAGGGGTGAAGGGGCGAGAGGTGAAAGCTGAAAAGGCAAACCTGCGATCCAATTGTCGCGTATCCTCGTTAAATTCTTTCCTTCCTTTTTCCCTCCCTTCCCTCAATTTATCGCCTCCATCTCCTCGAGTGGTCAACCCTTTCTGTCGAAACGAGACGCGATTAGTTAGCGAAATCGATTTATTTCGAATCGTTTCAAAAGAACGCGCATTATTCGATGAATAATTGTTTCAGAAAGGAAAGAAAGAAAGAAAGAAAGAAAAAGAGGATAAAAACTCTTGAAACGATCTAATTTATTCTTCCGTAATACCCGTTTCACGAGATAGTTACTTATTCCCCGATATACCGAAGTATGTAACAATTTTAATCCTCTTTCGGTAATACTCGCCGAGTATTTTAAGTTTTACAACGCTCTGCGGTTTATAACGGTTCAAGGCATTAACGGTGCCCATTTAAATTTTATACGGTGTTACGCAAGTTTTATTATAACAATTTTAACGCGGGGAAACCCAAAACTCTATCCATCTCTCTCTTTCTCTCCCGTCATCGCCAATGGTATAAATTTTCGCGTAACACCGTAGAACGCGCGCAAACAAACTCCTTTCTCTCTCCACGAAAGAAATTTCCCCTTTCCAGGAACCGTGGCCGTTCGAATGCGCATATCGATATATCGCTTAATTTTAACGATACGCTGCGAGCGTATATATAATGTAAACTCAATACCTTGGAGCATGCATGTCGGCATAAGCGCCATACGATCCGATCCTGGATACCGGCATCAAATCCCCGACATGGCCATTATACGCTCATTTCAGGTTAATACTTGGCCGATGTCGGTGCATTGACCTAACGACCGAACGGACCGGTCGGACATTAAAGTTGAGCACCGCTGAGCCCCATCGCGCGGGCCGCATTGTCTACCCTTATTTGCGCAGTTGGCGAGCAAATTATCCCGAGGATTTCGCGGAGGGGGGATATTGATAATGGCGAGAGAAACCTCGTGGAAAGCGAGAAGAAGCGTTTGGGACAAAGAGCTAGCTAGGAGACAACGGTTTCGAAGATTATTTTCCGCTTTTTCCTCTCAGATTCTACACGATTTTGATAGTAGAAATGTACGTGGACACGTGGATCTTGAAATATTCCTTGATTAATTATTTTCGTCGAATCTCTAACGTTTAAGTTTGGTTAACTTTACGATAACACGTCTATCTAAATTCGATGCTTCAATCTGCAAAGTTGAAAATTGATGAAACCTTCTCGAGCAATGATTTTTTCCAATCGATAAGAATGATAAGTTTGTAGCTGAAGAGTATGGAATAGTGATTAAATAGAACGAAATTCGAATAGTCACGAATGAAGTATTTCCTGAAAAAAGAAATCTTTCGAAAGTAGCCACAAATCGCGGGTTATTTCAATCGGATAGATCGAATTCGAAGCTTCAACCCACCCTTATCCTCCTAGGAACTAATTAACTTTCCAATTACATCGGCACCATTTCATTCGAAAACTTTCTCCCCCTAACGTGGAGGGAGGGAGGCGAAAACTTTTTCGAAAATTACACGGCCATCGCCGATCGTCCGTCAAAGGGACGTACGTTTCCTTTCACTGGGCCGCGTGTCTTCCGCGTGGAAACGCAAAGAGTGTCGAAAGTTTCGGGCGGAAACTTTGCTGCCCCAAGTCCGAAAACGCGTCGTATCCCCTGGCAAAAAGGGGAGGAGGAAAGGCGGTTGGCAAGTAGAAAGTCGGCAGACTTTCTCACTTCTCACGAGAAGGCAAAACGACGAGGCAAAATTTTAACGGCTTGGAAAAAAAAAATAAAGTTACTCGAATAATTTAACACCCGAACAAACCGCGATTAACCGATAATAATAAATCACTTACTATCCCCTCTTCCAAGATTATCTTTTCTACTAAACACAAGAAATAGAAATTTTAACCAATTAACATTTTTCATCACGTTGGACAATGTTTGAATTCAACCCCCAACAAAGAAGCCGGTTTGTATCGAGCTCAAGAGTATCGAATAGTGATTAAAGAAGAAATTCGAATAGCCACGAATGAACTATTTCCTGAAAAAGAAATTTTTCGAAAGTAGTCGTAAAATTTCGAAATTTCGAGACAGTATTTTCCTCTCCTGTTTGTAATT